CATAATTTGTAGATGTCCATTTTCCTTTTAAAGTCAGCATAATTTTTTTATGGTTCTACTTAGCCTTTAACTAGAGGAATACATAAATGTGTGTGTTGATATCTGAAATCTGTTGTGCACAGAGTATATATACAAGTTATGGTTGCATAGTGTGTTACGGTTTAACTTGCCGCTGTAGAGTCAAGTATGCTGTAATGTACTAGATAACTTAAGTACTTTCAAGAGCTATTGCATTGAGATATACTGCTTTACAATTTGTGCACTTAAGTATTTTTGACGTACAGTTGGTTCTTATGTTTGCCTCAGTGAATGATTCTCAGGTGGCATACCATTATTTTTCTTGGGATTTTGATCAGTGTATAAAATTTGTTTTTGCTACTTCTGAATAGTATAGATATATATTTGTGATAACCTGAGTGGAACCAATTGTGGAACTTGATGTGTAGATATTATTAGTTTCAAACTAGGATCCATTGTATAATACAAAGTCAGCTCCAAAGAAAGATTTTCTAGAAGTTGGGAAAACGTCGTCTTGCATATTTAAGAGAGCTCAGTCAAGTCTGTAAAAAGTTTTGAAGTGACACTGATACAGTGACTTTGCTGAGGGACAGTTCAAGAATGATAATAATTGTAAATGTATTTTGAGCTTTACAGGATCACTCCAGTCACTTTAAATAATGCTGTAATAGCTTTCCCTTCTTAAAAACAAAACTAAAAACACTCCGTACACTTGCCATCCCCTTTCTCTCCATCTACCATCCATTATTCTGCTTGCCACTCTAACAAAATACTCAGGAAAAGTTGTCTATATTCCTATTTCTACTTCCTCTCTGCCTAGCCATTGTAATTCAAACTTCATTGTTTCCACTCCCACATTGGCTTCTTGCCTGGTCTCTCGGTTTCACTTGTGCACACCCCTGCCCTGCAATTCTTAAAAGTCACCATGAGGTCGGCCCCAGGGCTGAGTGGTTAAGTTCACGCGCTCCACTTTGGCGGCCCAGGATTTCCCTAGTTCGGATCCTGGGCGCAGACATGGCACCGCTCATCAAGCCATGCTGAGGCGGCATCCCACATGCCACAACTAGAAGGACCCACAACTAAAAATTCACAACTATGTACTGAGGGGCTTTGGGGAGAAAAAGGAAAAATAGAATCTTAAAAAAAAATTATCATGATTTTGAAACATAAATCACTCCCCTGCTTCAAACCAATTTTCAGACCCACACCGAAAGTGGTTTGGGTTGGGTCCAGGCATTAGTGTATTTGAAAAGTTGCTCAGATGCCAAACAGGCTGAAAACCCACTGCTCTAGTGCCTTCTCTCCTATTGATAATAAAAGCTGATCAGCGTTATGACCTACAAGGCTTCTTACTAGCTGCCTGATGCCATCTCCTGTTTTCTTCACCTCCTTCACTCTGTTCACATTGGCGTTCTTCGAAGATGCTGGAGCTTTGTTCTCGTCACTGTGTCTCCAGCACTAGAACAGTGCCTTCTGGCAGATAGGACATGTTCGGTAGATATTTATTGAATTAATAAATATCTTATAGATGCTGTTGGTTCTTATTTTGTAGTAGTGATTACTCTATAACTAAAGATGATTAGGTTGAGTCTTCAAGAATGCCACCAAAAATTCTCTATCTGAACAAATGTCACAGGCTCCCATAGTCCAGCCATTCCATCGTCAACACTGTCTACTTCTTTTGGCATCAGAATGCCTGCTTTTCTCTGTTTTTGTCTCTTGGTACATGCACAATTGACACCTCATATCTTTTCTGGTGTCCTATTTCTGCTTTTATTTGGTGTAATTTTTCTTTCCTATGTTGTTACTTATTCGCTGTTTTCTGTGGATAAAGATGAGTGGTCGTACCATGTTGTCAGTAAGAGATATTCTTTCCTTTTGGAGGTAAACAAATTGCTCCTCTGGTGTCTAGTACATAATCTTTGGATCGTATGCCCTCCTTGTCTGTGTTTATTCTTGCTGAATTTAGGTGGGCTGCTCCTTTGGTGTGAAAAACCAAGGTGGAATTGATGGGCAGGGTCAGATTTTAAAGGGGAAGATCAAGGGAGGTGCCTGTTTGTGAGGTCAGAGTTTGTAATCTAATTGATGGAAAGTTGAGATTTTATTGCATCAGGGGCTTGCAAAGTTTTTCTACAAAAATCCAGGTAGTAAATATTTTGGGCTTTGTGAGTTTGCTCTGCCTGAGTGCAGGGTGGCTGCTGGGAAGTGCTGGGAATTTAATGGCCCTAGGAGCAGCCCTCAGCCAAGGAAATGGGTTGAGACACCAGCCTTCTCCTTTCTTGGTGGGACAGTTCTAAGGCGTGTGCACATGATTCTTCAGCAGGTCTCCCGCAGGACTGCACTCCAGTCATCCGCACCACTGCAGGAACCGTCCCTCGGCTTTTCTCCCTCCCTTTCACTTTTCCTAATCCCCTCCAGTGTGCTTCCTGGGAGTTCCCTCACCTCAAATAAGCTGCTTGCACCAAGTTCTTATCCCAGGATTGCCTTTTGGGGGAACCCAAGTGATTTAATTATAGGCTGTATTATTATTATTATTATTATTATCATCATTATTATTAGCAGGAACAGCCTTTTCCTCCTTTTATTATTATTACTCTTAGCAGGGAACAGCCTTGTCCTCCCTTCTCCCTGCACTGGGACTATATGATGTAGCTCCTTAATGGTTGACACTGGCACCACAGTACAGCAGAAGGGAAGGGAAGAAAGTATTTTGTACTTACCTACCGTTAATTCAGTTCAGCTCAGCCTTACTGTCCTTGGTTACTGTCATTCTCTGCAAGTTATCTTTTTCTGCCATGGGTTCTCTAATCCTTTTTTTTTTTTTAAATATTGAAAGGAGCAAATTTATTGATTGTATGTTCCTGCTGTATATCTTTTTTTTTTTCTTGCTGAGGAAGATTAGCCCTGAGCTAACGTCTGTGCCAGTTTTCCTCTACTTTATATGTGGGTCGCTGCCACAGCGTGACTGACAAGTAGTCTAAGTCCACACCCGGGATCGAAACCCACAAACCCAGGCCACTGAAGCAGAGCGTGCTGAACTTAACCACTACACCATGGGCTGGCCCCGGGTTCTGTGTTCGTGAAGAGAAAAGTAAACTATCTGTAACATGTGTGACCATTTATTTCATAATATATGAAAAGGTCTCAACCTTGGTTGTCTTCTGTAAGCTGGAGCAGATTTGCTATTTCTTTTTCTTTCTTTTTTTTTTTTTTTGAAGAATATTAGCCCTGAGCTAACTACTGCCAGTCCTCCTCTTTTTGCTGAGGAAGACTGGCCCTGAGCTAACATCCATGCCCATCTTCCTCTGCTTTATACGTGGGACACCTGCCACAGCATGGCTTTTGCCAAACAGTGCCATGTCCGCACCTGGGATCTGAACCAGCAAACCCCAGGCCGTGGAGAAGCGGAATGTGCAAACTTAACTGCTGCGCCACCGGGCCGGCCGCCAGATTTGCTATTTCTAAAACTTAGTTGACAAATTCTGTGCTGGAAAGTAATTTAAGATGCAGGGTACTATATACATTGTGTCACAATTAGGTGAGTAGTTGTAAAATAGCAGTTATGTGTATTTCTGGTGCCACACTTCAAATAACATGATTGACTGGGCTTTTCCAAAACAAACATTAAAATTTCAAAATTGCAGTATCATCACGAGTAACTGCAGTTCTCCCATTGAATACTTACTGATTGAAATGCTTTTTTAATGTCTGGGGAATTGAAAGTCTTTTTCCACTTGTGTCTCTTCCATAGTGAAGAGAAGTTCAGTTATATCAAGTCAATTTCACCATTATAGAATGTGTTTCTAGGCACATAATCAATGTGGAAATTTGATTTTTTACTACCTGGGGCTTTCAGGTAGACAAGTTGTGTTAAAAAAATGTTCCAGATTAGTATATACTTTGAAATTATCTTCTTAAAGTTGATCAGTTCATTTTAAAGCTGTATTAAAATGAGCTTCATATCAGAATCATGATAATAGTTTTTGTTTTTATTTGCAAGAACATTGTTTTCCAGGGTTTTTTCTTCCCTTGGAAGGCTTTGTTTTGGCAATTATTCTTTTTTGAAATATCATATCCCTATTTTTTGGTTCTTAGTTTAACATATAATTGATCTACAAAGTCTCTTTTATTACTATCTTAAAAATGAGATGAAGTGGGATTTTATTTTGCAAGCTTATTATGATGTGCCTTATCTGGGGGTAGCCAAATCTTTTGTAAACTGCTTTCTTTTCATTATTTGGTTTCATTTAATTTAATTGCATAAGACTGTTAAAGACAGTTTAACAGATACTAATGTTTTTTGTTATACTTGTACCAAAATATATTGGGAGGGAAAGTTGGACAGTGTGACTTTGTAAGTTACTTTTCTTGGAATGGATTTTGGACAGCATGTATGGTTGGGATGTAGTTTGTGTGTGTTTTCTCTTAGGTTATAGAGTATTCCTCATGGAGGTGTGCTTTTCTGTGTTCTCTTCTTCAGTTAGGAGTGTAGGTGTGTCCACTTTGGTTCCCCATCTTACTTTTCACTACTCCTTACCCTCCTCAGCACGCTTCTGTGGCCTCACAGTGTCAGCCTTCTCACCTCCTTTATCATCAGAGTATTGTTCATTCCACAAGGCTGGTCTCAGAACCCACCAACTCCACTTCATTATTAATCCTTCCCATGCCAGTCTCCGGGGTTCTCTGTGTTCTCTGAATGAGTACAGAGAGTATTTACTCTCTCTGTCATCCGTATGTCCCACGTTGTACCTTATTTAAGCATTATTAGTTACCCTGTGTATTCTGCCTCAGCTACCTTGTATACTGATTTTCAAGGGCAGAGAGTGTGTTTTCTTAGCTGTTTAGTATTTCTTTTGTACCTGTCACAAAACAGGCACTTAGTATTTAATTGTATTAAATACTCATTTATTTAGTTTTCTGCTTGTAATTTCTCTCAAAGTAATCTTGGTGATTTTTAAGTATTTTGTTTGTTTTTGTAATAGATGTGAAGAAAGATTGGTCTGACCATGCTCTCTGGTGGGAAAAGAAAAGAACTTGGCTTCTTAAGACACATTGGACGCTGGATAAGTATGGCATTCAGGCAGATGCGAAGCTTCAGTTCACCCCCCAGCACAAACTTCTTCGCCTGCAGCTTCCCAACATGAAGTATGTGAAGGTGAAAGTGAATTTCTCTGATAGAGTCTTCAAAGCTGTTTCTGACATCTGTAAGACTTTCAGTAAGTATTAGACAGATTCTTCATGAAAGTAGGAATTGTGTGATGTATATGTAACTGACGACTGACGTGTAGCTTATCTCAAGGATAAGCTTCGAGTTGCTACCTTGTATGTATGTGTATGTGAAATTTTTGCTTTATTTTTTTAAGTTTTTATATTACTTAAGATAAAGAAATGTTGAGTTAAAGTGGAACAGGAGGAATCTAGTAGAGATTCTTTCCTTACTAGAAGTATATCAGGTATTTATTATTCTATAATACTTTATTCTGATCACTTAATTTGTTTTTATGGGAAGGAGAAGAGAACAGGCATTATTTTCAGAGGGATTTGGCTTTTGCAGTGTTTCCTTCACATGTCACTATTTGATTTTAGTGATTGAGGCAGATTGTATCTCTTCCTCCAGTGAAGGCCTGACACAGCTCCTAAGGAAATGATCATGAGTGTTGTCTTCCTTAACCAATCTGCAATTTGAACACTCTTATGGTAGTTCTTTCTGAAATGGTTATGCTTTCTGAAATGACATCTGGATTACTTTTGGCTGACCCAGTTATGTCATATGACAGGAAGTATTCAGCCATCAGAGAAAGTAGGAACTATTGTCATTATTACTGGTACCTAACTTTCTTGTACCATAGATTTGGGAGAGATACAGGACGTTACTGTTTTGATCTAATGACTCTGAAATTATAATGTTTTTTATGTTTAATTGCATTTTTAAGAAAAAATTTTTTAAAGTACAAGGAATTATATAATTAATTACCTAATTCCTATTATCTAGAATTAATAGCTGATATTTTATCATTTTACCAAAGTTTTTCTAAGTCTAAATAGTATAGGTAAAGTTCTTGGGTTACATTCTCCTAATTTCCCTTCACAAAGCAACTACTGTCATAAGTTTAGTGTGTATCCTTCCAGTACTTTTAAAAATACATAAATACACACATGCATGTATCTATATCTGTGTGTGTGTATATATCCATAAACAATATATGTTGCTGCCATTGCTGTGTAGTTTTCTCGAGTGTTTATGTAGAAGTAGAAAGTAGAATTGCTGTGTTTTAAGTGTACACATAATTTATTTCAGAGTACTGTCAAATTGCTCTCCCAAGTTTACATTCCAGCTGGCAATGTATAAAAACCCATTGCCCCAGGGGCTGGCCCCGTGGCCGAGTGGTTAAGTTCATGCGCTCCGCTGCAGGCGACCCAGTGTTTCGTTGATTTGAATCCTGGGCGCGGACATGGCACTGCTCATCAAACCACGCTGAGGCAGCATCCCACATGCCACAACTAGAAGGACCCACAACGAAGAATATACAACTATGCACCGGGGGGCTTTGGGGAGAAAAAGGAGAAAATAAAATCTTTAAAAAAAAAAAAAAGCCCATTGTCCCAAATTGTCACTAACACTTGAATATGGCCAGTTTTTGGTGTTTGCTTCTCTGAGTGAAAAAATACAGTATTTCATTTTAGTTTATAAAGTCACGTATATTTTTATATCTTTATTGGCCATCTGTTTCTTTTTTGAATTGATATCATTTGTCTATTTTTTTTTAAATAATAAACTTTATTTTTCAGAGCAGTTTTAGGTTCACAGCAAAACTGAACAGAAAGTACAGATTTATGGATGTATATACACCAGCATTTGTTGTTATCAGTGTTCTGGGTTGTGGCCAGCCATTGTAATAGATGCGTAGTAGTATGTCGTTGTTTTAATTTGCATTTCCCTGATAACATATGATGTGGCACATCTTTACACATGCTCAGTTGCCATCTGTACATCTTCTTTGATAAGGTGTCTGTTAAGGTCTTTGGCCTATTTTTTAATCAGGTTGTTTTCTTATTGTTTATTTTAAGAGTTCTTTGTATATTTTGGATAACAATCCTTTATCAAACATGTCTTTTACAAGTATTTTATCCTAGGCTGTGGCTTGTCTTTTCATTCTCTTTGACAGTTCTTTCACAGAGCAGAAATTTTTAATGTTAATGAAGTCTAGCTTATCCGTTATTTCTTTAATGGATCATGTGTTTGTTGTATCAAAAAAGTCATTGCCAAACCCAAGGTCATCTGTACTTTTTCCTGTGTTATCTTCTGGGGGTTTTATAATTTTGCATGTAAGTCTATGATCCATTTTGAGTTAATTTTTGTGAAGGGTGTAAGGTCTGTGTCTAGATTCATTTTTTGGCATGTGGATGTCTAGTTGTCCTAGCGCCTTTCTTTTTTCAATTGAGTTCATAACAGTTTACATCATTGTGAAGTTTCAGTTGTACGTTATTTCTTGTCATATAAGTCTAGCATCATTTTTTGAAAATTATCTTTTTTCCATCGTATTGCGTTTGCTCCTTTGACAAGATCAGTTGACTGTATTTATGTAGGTCTATTCTGGGCTCTATATTCTGTTCCATTGATCTGTTTGCTGTTCTTTTGCCAATAACACTCTCTGTTGATTACTGTAGCTTTATAGCAAGAATTGAAGTTAGGTAGTGTCAGTCCTCCAACTTTGTTCTTCTCTTTCAACATTGTGTTGGCTGTTCTGGGTCTTTTGCCTTTCCATATGAACTTTAGAATTAGTTTGTCAATATCCATAAAATATAACTTGCTGGGATTTTGATTGGGATTGCATTCAATTTGTAGATTAAATCGAGAAGAATTGACATCTTGTCAGTATTGGGTGTTCTTGTCCGTAAACATGGAACATCTCTCCATTTATTTATTTCTTTGATTTCTTTCATCACAGTTTTGTAGTTTTCTTCATATAGATCTTACACATATTTTGTTAGATTTATACCTAAGTATTTCTTTTTGTTTATGTTTTGTTTTTGGTGCTAATGTAAATAGTATTGTGTTTTATATTTCAAATTCTGTTTGTTCATTGCTGGTATATAGGAAAGCAACTTACTTTTATATATTAACCTAGTATCCAACCTTGCTGTAATCATTTATTTATCCCAGGAGTTTTTGTCGATACTTCCATATTTTCTGTAGAGATGATCATGTCCTCTGCGAGTAAAGACAGTTTTCTTCCTTACCAATCTGTATACCTTTTATTTACTTTTCTCGCGTTAGCTAGAACTTCTAGTACCATGTTGAAAAGCAGTGGTGAGAGGGGACATTCTTGCCTTGTTCCTGGTCTTAATGGGAAAACCTCAAGTTTCTCACCAGTAAGTGTATTTTCAGCTGAAGGTTTTTTGTAGATATTCTTTGTCAAGTTGAGGAAGTTCCCCTTTATTCTAGTTTATTGAGTTTTTATGAATGAATGAATCCAACACTTGAATGAATGTTGGATTTTTGTCATGGTTTTTTTACATCTGTTGATATGATCATGTGACTTTTCTTTATAGCCTTTTGATGTAATAAATTATACTGATTTTTGGATGTTGAACTACCCTTGCATACTTGGTATAAATCTTACTTGGTCACAGTGTATAATTTTCTTTATACATTATTGCATTCGATTTGCTAATATTTTGTTCGAGATTTTTGCATGTATGTTCACGATATATATTGTCTATAGTTTTGTTTTCTTATAATGTCTTCATTTGGTTTTAGTATTAGAGTAATGCTGGCCTCATATAATGAATTAGGAAGTATTGCCTTTGCTTCTGTCTTCTGAAAGAGATTGTAGAGAATTAGTGTAATTTCTTCCTTAAATGTTTGGTAGATAGGAAAAAAGCTCCTTAACATGGGTCTTGGCAATGATGTTTTGGATATAACATCTAAAGCACAAGCAAGAATAAACAAGTGGGATTAGATGAAACCAAGAAATTTGTGCACAGCAAAAAAAAACAGTCAACAAAATGAAAACGTATGGAATAGGCAAAAGGATTTACAAATCGTATGTCTGATAAGGAGTTAATATCCAAAATATATAAATACAACTCAGTAACTGAAAACCAAATAATCCAATTAAAAAATGGGCAGAGGACCTGAATAGACGTTTTCCCAAAGAAGATATACAGATGGTCAACAGTATATGAAAAAGTGCTCAAAATCACTAATCACTAGGGAAATACAAATCAAAACCACAATGAGATATCACCTCATGTCTATTAGAATAGCAATGATCAAAAAGACAAGAGATAAATTCTGGCGAGGGTGTGGAGAAAAAGGAACTCTCGTATACTCTCGGTGGTATTGTAAACTGGTACAGCCACTGTGGAAACCAGTTTGAAGTTTCCTCAGAAAGTTAAAAATAGAACTACCATATGATCCAGCAGTTCCTCTTCTGGGAATATATCCAAAGGAAACAAAAACACTGTGTCAAAGAGATACTGCACCCCCATGTTCATAGCAGCATGATTTATGATAGCTAACACGTGGAAACAACCTAAGTGTCCATCAACAGGTGAATGGACAAAGAGGTCGTGGTATGTATATACAGTGGAATATTATCCAGCCATAAAAAACAAGGAAATCTGCCATTTGCAACAATGTGGTTGGATCTTGAGGGCATTTTGCTAAGTGAAATAGTCAGAAAAAGACAAATACTGTGTGATTTCACTTATATATGGAATCTAAAAGCCAAAGCAAAACAAACAAAAAACCAAACTCACAGAAAAAGAGATCAGATTTGTGGTTAACAGAGGCAAGCAGTGGGGAGTAGAGAAATTGGGTAAACGCAACCAAAAGGTACAAGCATACAGTTATAAGATAAGTACTGGGGATATGATGTACAACATGATGACTATAGCTAACACTGCCGTATGATATATAGGAAGGTTGTTAGAGTAAATCCTAAGAGTTATCATCACAAGGGAGAAGAACATTTTCTTATATCTATATGAGATGGTGCATGTTAGTTAACTAAACTTATTGTGGTAATCATTTGACAGTATATCTAAGTCCAGTCATTATGCTGTACACTTTAAACTTAACACAGTGCTGTATGTCAATTATATCTCAATAAAACTACAAAAAAAACGTTTGATAGAATTTACCAGTGAACCCATGTGGGCCTAGTGCTTTCTGTTTTGGAAGATTATTAATTATTGATTCAATTTCTTT